TTTTCACGCAGCCTTTTCAGCATTTCCAAATACTAAACTTGGTTAACTGTTTGTCCACTTGGTACAAATTCATAATGAATAATCCCTCTGATTATCAAAAAAAGTTAGCAATATCATTTTGACTCGATTTGGACTGACAGAAATTTTTTGGTCATGGAGAATTGGCTGACTTCTATTGTGCACTTTGATGCTTTGTTTCAGGGTTGTATTGGTGCACCCATGTTTCATCACCAGTGATAACATGGCCAAAAATGTTGTCTTTCCTCTCCAAAAGGTCTTGGCAAACTTCAACTCTCCTTTTGTTTTTGTTCATCAGTGAGCTCCTTTGGGACCATTTTTGCACACACCTTTCTCATGCCAAGATTTTTAGTTAAGATTTTCCTGTTTCTGTATTGATATTTACTTGGTTTGTTATGCTTCTCACAGTCAGCCAATGATTTTGATGCACAATTCAATAAATTTTTGCAATGTTTTTGCTAGTTCTGCTCTTTACTGGCTGCCCTACCTCTCTTCATCAGTGATGTGTTCTCTCCCCTCAGAAAAATGTTTAATCCGTTTGTACACTGCCGTTTTCTTCATGGCATTATCCCCATAAACTTGGACTAACATGTCCCTGATTTCACTTCCACTCTAGCGAAGTTCAACAAGAAATTTAATATTTGTTCATTGCTCTAATTCAAGCTCAGACATTCTTGTGACAGCACACAGAAGCATGCAGCAACAACAATGGATGCCACTCAGCAAGACACCACCACACTTAATGTGAACAAAGCTGTGAGACACTGATATACCAAGGTTATGAAACCCTACCAAGCTGTTTGTACAGTGCTGCCAATAAGTGCATGGTTGCAAAAGTTCATGAATTTAATTGTCAGAAAAATAATCTCTATATAGTTATAGATATGTATATGTACCTAGGTATACCTATCTGTAAACACATTAAACAAAATTACACAAATGCTTATAAAATTATGATTTTTATAAATGATTGGAGAAATACAGGGAACTATGAAACCATATAACAGGGAGAGCTGAACTAACTGGGAGTGAGAGTGAATATGTCAGAGAAGGCTTCTTTGGAGAAATGATGTAGAAGCTAAGTCTGGAAATGTGAATAGGCATTGGCTAGCCTGCTATGTGAGCATGTGTATGTGTGTGTTTGTGTGTGTGTGTGTTTGTGTGTGTGTGTGCATGTGTAGAAAGTATTACAGAGGGAACTGAATATATAAGGCACAGAAGTAGGAAGGAGAGTAGATTATTCTAGGAGCTGAATGAAGACTTGTGTGGCTGGGATACTATGAAAGAGAAAGTGGAGATGTAAGTAGGGGTCTTGTAGGCCATGCCAAAGGTTTAGGATTGCCAGTGGATATTACTGGGGGCTGCTTAAAAGGGGAGAGGATTTTTCTTCCCTTTTATTACTTTCCCAGGACAGCCAATCACAACCTTTTTACATCAATCAAAGCAGTTCAGTGGTGTTGGTGCAGTTTCCTCTATTTTACAATGAGAACATTAAAGAATAAGCTTACTCGCTGAGCAAAGAAAGTTGGTTTTTTGTTTGTTTGTTTGTTTTAGGAATTTTGTAAGCATTGTATGTTTTCTTCCCTGGTTACAAAATGCATAATTTATCTTTTGGGAATGGGACATCCAGGTCTTAATGTGTTTACCTTCAGAACAATAGATTAGTTATAGTTTGTTAATTCCTTTTGTTTCCTACCAGAAAGAAAAAAAAAGGATTAATTATATGGTGAGAGCTGGGTGGTCTTCAGGCCTATATAGAAGACCTGATCAAGAGTTTCCCATAACAGTGAGGGAGAGTAGTAGAAGATTTACTGATATGAGGAAGAGTAGTAGAAGAAAAGGCTTGGAGAAGGAAATCCAGAGATTTTCTTTTTTTTTTCCTTTTTGACATCTTAAATCTGATATGTATATTAGACATATAAGTGGAAATACTGTGGAGGGAAAAGGGGCCACATGTTAACCTGACAAGCTCAGGAGACTGAAAATAACCACATAAGATGGCGTGAGAATAAAATATTTCATAGCTAAATGAGTC